ATTCTATTCTGTTCTATTCTGTTCTATTCTGTTCTATTCTGGTGATGTAATTACAGAAATATACAAATAATTACAAATGCTCAACACAAGTCACATACATTTATACCTAAATCACATAACTTCAGGAAAGTCTTATCATTAAATTATTTTTTAAAGAAACCAAGTAGTTTTGTGGTTTCGCAATATGTATTAAAATAATATTAATAAAAATAAATTTAAAAAAACTATGGTATAGTAACATCCATTGCTATTTTCTAAACTGATGTAAGATTTTAATCAGGGATAAACATCATATACTGTACGTATAAGTCAGAGTTGTAAGCCCAAGTGCAGATAATCACAGGGAGCTCAAAAACAAACACGTCTTTAATAAATGCAAAAGCAAAATGCTGACGAAGCAACAAAGTTTGCAGTCTCCAGAGAAAAGKATTATAGATAGGAAGTAATTGGAACAAAGGCATTAAGCCAACAGTGCAGAACTGATGTGAAGGTGGAAAGTGACTGAATATATAGAGCTATGGGTGAGTGGGAGACTGACTGCAGTTGGGATTAACGAGGTAAAGAGGAACAGGTGAAGTGGGCGTGGYAGGCTGACTGAAAGAATATGGAGGCGGACTGAAGGAGAGCACAGGCGCCAAACAGGAATTACCTCAAGAAATTAAAACACAATAGCACATCGAGCCAAACCATAAAACACAAAGAAGGATCTGAATTGAACAAGCAAACAAAACTGAAGTAATGCATCAAAAGGAATTAAATGTACAGAAAACATGAAAAAAAAAATAAACTAATAAACTCAAAGAACACGACACACAGATACAACGTGTTAACAAAAAACTCTGACTTCATCTTTCAGCTCTTACAACTATTTCACTTCGAGGCATTACAGAGCCCAGAACGGCCTTAACAAAATGTAAAACGAGTCTTTAGCTAGCCATCAGCCTAGCCATTTACCCTTTTCTTTATCTCTATAACTGCAGTCACAACTGAGAGTTATAAGCCATTATTACCTATTGGACAAAATATTACTTCAAAAATGACCAAACTATTCCTTTAAATAGCAAGCGTAACACTAGCTAACACAAAAATCTGATACGGACTGATTATGTATGTCATATTTCTAGTATCAAGTATTGCATAAATGCAGTTTAAATTAACAAAGAAACAGCCAGAGCCTGATTCTATGTGTTAACACAATTAGCGAAATCTGTTTTATACTGAACAGTCTGGTGTGTGCAATGTTGTAAATCAGTGGGCAGGACTGAGTGGTGACAGCCTTGTTCTTTTGCTACATCAGTGACAGAAGGTGGCTATATTTACAAAGCATTTCATTAAACCCATGAGCCAAAAAATACATCCTTCTGACCTTTTTTAATTTAAATAAACGTCACARTTTGTGTTACAGAAAATGTACTTCTTCACAATATGCGTATGAATATGGTCATCATGTAAAAGTTTTATCTTTAAAATAAACAGACACTATTATATTAGAAGTACATCTAAATGTGATTTCCCTAAATTTAAGCTTTCATAGATTTTTGTAAGTCAGTATGGTAAAAATAAAACCTGCAATTCTGTTTGTTTAAGAGACATTAAAACAAACATTGATTAACTTGTGATCAAACAAACATAAAAGGTGAATAAAATAAAATCGGATTAGTCCACCTAGTTGCAAACTTGTAGTCATAATCAAAAAGGTCAAAGGTAGAAATATTCTGACTTATAGTACCCAATGTACATCAAGCTCATTCACTCTTCTTTGCCACTATATAAAGGCCCATATGGTTTATATTTAGTTTGCAAAGCAARCTTTCAGTTTTAAATTATTACAACAACCAAACATGAATTTTTTATGTGCCTCTGACTCTAAATTGATAAAAGCCTGACTAAATCTGCAGGTCAATATTCTCAATTTTGGCAATGTTCCTCTGAATCTCCAAGAGGATAAATTGGAGCTATTATGTCAATGTTTCATGATAGTTGGCCAATGTTATATTCATGTTTTCCCAATAATATATACACACTTATTTTTGGCCATTTAGCTTTGTGGAACGGACAGAYACACTGAGCCTGCTGTAGACAGCTCCTTGAAAAACCACTGTTTGAATCAGACAGGACTGAGAACAGCCAATCTGAATGCAGCCAAGACCAGAAATTAAAATAGCTCTTATCTCCTAAATTTGATAACCTTTAAAACAAAAACTATTTTGGTAGACCATTAAATTATCAGTTTTGCAATATGATTATTTACATGGAATTCTGTGTTTCTCTGCAAACACAAAAGGCTGTAACAGCATGAGGTGAGGCTCTTCTGGTGCAGCCTGGGGATAATTCTGGCAGGATTTTCTTATTTCTGCCAAAATAGTTTTATGTTAAAATGAGTGGGATGCAAAGGCTTAAATATTAACGGTTGCACAAAATGCTATGAATTATTTTTGTTTAGGACAGCAGGAATCTGCTTTGGAGGTGAGGAATGTCTATTATCAAATGTCTATCAGAAGTGAAACC